CTGCAGCTGGTCCCGCTCTGCAGCGGCCCGTGGTCTGTTCAGGGCCTGTGCTGCAGGTTGGGAGGTCCAGATCAAGCCCCCTCTTGTCCCACGGAGCGAGTGCCTTTGAAGGTAAGTCGTGCCTTCTGCGGGACTTGAAACTCTCAACGACCAGAGCGTTTCCTCGCTGCTCAAAGGCGTTTGCTTGTGTGTAAATCCAGAGGCGGCAAGGCGGAAAGCGGGGCGGTGGCAGAGGGCAGTGCATCCCAACACCTGACCGTGGGCTCAGTCAGGGGATCCCAAGGAACTTCCTTCACACTCCAGAAAACAAAACAACAACAACAAAAAAAGGAGGGGGGCGGGGGAAACGGAGGCCCTTTGTGCATCTGAGAAATTATTCTGAGCCTGGGCTGCGGCGACAATCCTGCAGGTGCCCTGATGCGGCTCTAAGACACCGTCTCTCCCAGTGACCGCAGAGTTGCACCACACGACTTCACTCTTCGGATTAATTCCGCGCACAACTGGGGAGCAATTTACTCAGATCCTGCCCGTGTGCACCAGACTGGAGAGCCGCAAGGTCAACCAACGGTCAGATAGAGCTCTAGCCCTAAAAATAACCAGCCTCACTCTCTGCCTCTGCACAAGGCTGAGCACAGCTCGGCGCTACCAGCCCCGACGTGGCTGATTTCTCCTCTCTTCCCCCCCGCTGCCCCCTCACTGTTGCCAGGAGAGACGTGGGGGTGCCGAGCAGCTCTCGCAAGATGCTGCTGTGGGAGATCTAGCCATGGGCTACAATTTAAAAGCCACTCAGCCCTTCTGGACACTTCTACCATAACCTCCCAACCTGGCAAAAACCAGGACAAGCTGTCAGGACCCCCCGCCCCAGCTGCCTGACCGGAGGCTGTGCCGCCCATCCCCGCAGACTCTTGCGCCGCCGAGAAGCTCCTGGTTTCCCAGAAGTGACTCAGCTAACAAGGCCCAGGCAGATGGACAGAGCTGGCTTCCACCACCCCGCTGCCAGGTGTCCTTGTTTCTGCACATGCTTTAAAACACCGCTGGCTTGAACTTCACCCGCGTTTAAAGAAATTCTAAACCTTTCCCTGCCTGAAAAGGCAGCCTAAGCACAAAGACATGTACTATCTTGGCAGTATTTTCCCTAAAAACTGGTCAAAAATAGTTTCCTCTCAAGAACAATCCCTGGGTTCTTTGTGCACGCTTTCCCAGAAGGTGAAGTGACAGCTCCGCACCCCGGTGTGTGTGAGCACTGCTCCGGGGCTGGCGGGGGCCCTTCCTCCCCAGCGCTGCAGTCTCTCCCAGAAGAAAAGCCTGGATCTGCCTTGCCCAGATCTGTCAGGACCTGCCAAAAGCCCGTCGAGGCCAAGTCCTGGAGAAAGCAGCTCTGGGTGAGGTGGTAGGGCTGGGGCTGCAGCAGGACCCTCTCGCCGCCCCGTCCCTGCCAGCTGGGAGAGGGAGGGGGTCAGGATGCCAAACCGGCCTTTGGGACAGGGAACAGGAAACAACAGGAAGCGACTGATTTTTCCCGACAGCAGCACATCCTGACAGCGCAGCAAATCCACGTCCTTCCCCCTGAACTCACCCGCTTCAGCCCCAGGTTTATTCCCTGCTGCCACACACGGTACCTGATGTCTGTTGAAAACCCCCCCGCGAGCGCTCGTGAAATCTGCTGCGAAGTCACCCGCCCCCAAAATAACCCCAAAGCCCTTTGGGAAAGGCACCCCTAGAGAGAATCGTAGCCCAAGCACGGGGGGAGCTGGACTGGACACACGCAGTCATAGAATCATAGAATCATTTTGGTTGGAAAAGACCTTTAAGATCATCTGTGTGGTATTTCTGTGTCAGACTAGGACCAAGGCAGACGCTCAGACTAATTGCGGACGGCCCAGCTCCTTCGGGGAGCTCGAATTTTACCCCATTGCCTCCATCTCCATTCTCATCTGCTTCCTCCTCTCCTCATTGATGGGATGGAGGCAGAAGATGACTACGGCGATGAGCAGCAGGCTTATTGGGACTGGGCCCATGAGAAGCTGCAGGCTGAGGATGACGGAGGGGTTGTACGTGCAGTCTCCAGCACGGTAACCTGCAAAACTGAAGAGGAGAATGGTTTTCCTTCCCCCAGCCCCACTGGGCCACCACAGAAAGGCAAGCAGGCACCTCTGTTGCTCTCCTCTAGGGTCCGGTATCGGAGGCCCAGGTTTGGGGAATTCCCACTCCTTTCTGCTCCTCTTACTCCCAAGTAGATGTTGGAAAGACAAATTTGGATAGCCCTGGGATGCGTTCCAGCATCTCCTATCAACACTCTAGAAAACAGCAGTGGAAAGTGCCTGTGCTGGGCTGACAAAACAGGGGAGGTGGTGTTTGGGGCTTACTGTAAACTCAGCGTCGATATCCCCACGGCAAGGCCACCTGCAAACTTGTTGAAGAAGACGTAAAACGAATAGAAGAGAGCCTCCAGGTTGAGGCAGCTGGGGTTCCTCAGCATGAAGTCATCCACCGCATCCGGCAGCATGGACCTGGGACAGACAGTCCCACAGACACGTTGGTGACACCCGTGCCAGCTGAACTCAGCCGCAGCCGCTCCCAGGCCTCTCCAGGCAGCAGAGAGAGGCAGAAACCCCTTGCAGAACCCCACTCCGGAGATGGTTTCGTGCCTGTCCTCTGCCTTAGGCAAACAGGGCAGAGAGCGTCTTCCAGAGAGGGTGTGGCGGCCGCTTCCGAAAAACCAGCGCCTTGTGGAATGGCTGGCGTCGTGCTGCCGAGCCCAAACGCAGACAAAACGATGCTGCTGGGGGACCGTGGGTCACAGCCACGTCCCTTCCCAGTCCCGCCTCCACAGGTCAGCTCAAAAGCTGCTGGGTTGGGCAAACGGGCAGCCTTGGCACGTCACGGGTGATGCTTTCCCCCAAAACCTCCCCCTCCTCTCTGCCCTGACAAGTAGCTCGGAGGTGGCTTCTGCTCACCAGGGTAGAAGGTAGAGCACGGCCGTGCTGCAGCCTGCCATGATCATCAGGAAGACGAAGGCCGGGAAGTTGTGCATCACCTGGGTGGTGGCTGCCAGGGCTGGGATCATCAGCTGTGCAGCGAGAGGAAAAACCAAAAGCACGTGGGCGCTTTCTGTGGCTCGCAGGCTGCTCGCGCCCACCTGCCCAACCAAAGGCCACGCTCGCCCCCTTCCCCACACATTTCACCAACGGAATTGCTCCCGTCCCCTGTGCAGTGCAGCGTGGAGACCCTGGAGAGGCTGACTGGCAGCAAAACCTCCCTCACGGGTAAAGAAGGGATGCTTATGGAGGGCCATGGAGCCAAATGGTTAAACTGGAAAGCTGGATCTGCCATGGCCGCACCCACTGTCTGGGAGGAAGGCGTCTGGAGGCAGATCCTCAAGGGGATTTGAGCACCTAATTCTTCGAAATGGGATTTCCTTGCTGACCTGCAGAGTCAGGCAGCAGCTGGAATGGGTGTCTGGCGAGCAGCAGGCTGTTTCCCAGCCACTGCCAAGCGTGGTGCACAGCCCTTCCATCCCTCCCCGTGCCTCTCACGGAGCTGGCTGGCAGAAATCGGATCACTTGCATCAAACATACAAGATCCTGGAGCAGGACAGAGGCCACAGGACGATGGTTGCATGTGCACATGTGAGACTGGTGCATCGGTACAGCACCTGATCACCCGCTGCTCACCAGATCCGCAGCCGCACAGCCTCAGAGCCTGAGCCCTTCACTGGGTGGTCTTGAAAAAAAAATAAAATCTTTTCCCCACTGTCCCAGGGACGGTCCCTCGGCCTCCCTGCACCTTACTGCAAAGCTCTGCGAAGCCACGGCCACCGATACCAGCAGTGGCCAAGCACAAGGAAGTGCAGAGCTGCCATCAACCTCTGGCTTAACTCCTGGTCACCTGCGGTGCAGAGGACACCGTGCTCAGGGCCACCCTTAGCTGCCAGCCACTCTTCTCCCCAGACACCACGAGTGGCTGGGGGCAAGGCTGTCCCCTCGCAAGGCTTCTCAGTCCACAGCCACAGGGAAACTCACCAGCAGGCCCAGTGACACTGCTGTTTTCTTTCCAAATCTTCCCAAAAACCATTGCCAAAAGGGAATAGAGAGGGAAGCTGTGACCTGAGGAGAGAACCAAAGGGGGGGGGGTCTTAGGAACGCCCTCCAGGACTGCCAGTTCCAGGACTGCCAGTCTCTGCCTGGGCGATGTCCTTGCTGGTGGGCAGAAGCACATGACTCCATGAGGCTGAGCTGCCCATGCTTGAGGGCTGGGGTGACCCAGAGACCTGCTGGGCCTCACTTACCAACATGATAAGCACTAAATGCTGGAATTTCCCGGCCAGCCCCGCGGCATGAGTACAGAAGAAGGCAAAGATCCCCTGTGTGATCTGGGAAGGCAATGCGGACAGGTTCACGGCTCGAGATCCCAAGTTCGCTGTCTGGATAACTTGCTTGGACATCTCGTCCCCCAAGCTCTCCTCCTGCCACGGCAGGTCTCGCACCTGGAAGGCCAGGGACGCAAAGAGGAAGCCACACAGCAGGTGGGTGTAGGGCTTGTGTCCCACAATCATCCTCAGGCAGCGGGCAAAGGGCAGCTCAACCTTCCCCAGGGGGCTGAGGGGCCCTGAGAGGAGAGACAGCAGGGCTGGCGCTGGAGCTGCCAGGACAAACATGACAGGGTGGGAGGCAGGGGAGGATCCTGCCGCTGCGTCCGGGGCGCAGCTCAGCTGGGTGAGGAGCTGCTGGAGTCTCAGGGCAGAGACAACAGCCGTGGCGTCAGCTATAGGCAGGATTTTGCCTCTTTCACGCTGCGCACTCGGGCTGGGCGGCGTAGCTCTGGAGGCTGCGTGTTGGCGGGACCCGCGCGTTGTGAAGCGGCGAGCTGCAGACCCCGTCCCAGCCTCACGGCTCCCTGCAGGAGCTCCCAGGCGGCTGGAGCCTTCCTCCCTCCAGAGCATCTCCCCTCTCCTCTGCAGGAGCAAGATGCTGCCAGCATAAACCGAGGAGGGTCTCAATATCCAAGTATGTGTTGTGGTTCTGAGCCCCATACCCAGGGAGCCACCCCCCCACATCGGTGCCCAGCTCCCTCTGCCTCACACCTCCCTCTGCAACCCTATCTTCACCACGCACTGCCACTGGGCACCCTCCAAATCGCATCCAAACGGACCTTACCGGGCTGCTCCCTGACTCCAAAGATGAGAATCAGACAGGACAGGCAGTAGATTGAGCCCAGGACCAGGGACGCAAATACATAGGCCCTACGCTGGAAGGCGAGACGGTGCAGGGTGACAATGCCGGCACCGCGCACAGAGCTGGCAGCACGGCCAGCGGTCCCTGCCCCAGAGCTCACCGGAGGGGCAGCGGGGCAGGCGGCTTACCGTGTTCCCCAGAGAGTCCGTGAGGCTGTAGGTGCTGGTGTTGGGCAGGGTCTCGTTCGGCACGTAACAGCCGTTCATCATGCGGGCGTGGTAGCTGCCCACAATCTGCCCCTGGATTCCTGACCCAAGGAGTGTGCTGAACACCTCCATCCCCATTCCTGCCAGGGCGACCAGGAAAGAAACCTCAGTCCCGCTCCCTGGCTGATGGGTGACACCCCTCGGGCTAAGAAAGCAGCTTTGGGAATGGAATTGGAGGCACCGACATCCAGAGCTGCGCCGGCAGAAGAAACCTGCTGTTTCTACCTGCTCTGATTTTTTCCTTCGGCTCCAGCAGTAAATGCTCTAATGCTTGGAGCCAATGGATCTGGGTCCTGAGTCCACTAGGGATGATACAGATCTAAGAAATGTTTCTGCAGGTAAATTCTTTGCAGAAGACGACTTGTTTCATCCCTTGTTTCATGCCCCTGGTTTACCCCATCCACCCTGCAGCCTGTTCAAAGCCAAAGGAACTTATGCACCTCTCCTCTGGGGAGGGTCTCCCAGGAATGCAGGCAGACCGGGGCTGTAGGGACACAGACACTTACGGTAGGCAGTGGCTGAGTCACGATCTTGCTGGGTTCCTCCCAGGAACATTGTCAGGGAAGAGTACGGCACGTGGTAGCACTGGGGAGAGAACAGTTCAAACACAGCTCTGGCTCCCTGTGTCGCTGGTCACGACCCGCCTCGTCCCCATGCACAGCAGATAACGCTGCCTTCTGTGCCACCCCTGCACACAGGTGGCGTTTCACCCTCTTCTCCTGTGGTTCGCTCTGTTCCCACAAACCAGTGACGCAGAAGTTCACATCGCCATGCACGGGCAGCCCAGCTGAATCCCAGCATTAAAATGCACCGCTCCACCTCACCATCCCTGCAGGGATGGTCTGCGCCATCCCGCATCCCGCGCTGCTCCCCAGCTAGAGCTCTCCCAGACCTCACTCCACGTCCCTTCCTGGAGAGGCTGGGGCTGGGCCTCCCCAGCTGACCACGTCCCTGGTCCCTGTCCCTTGCTGCATAGGATGATGTGTAAGACAGTCAGCCCCAGGCACCGTGTTCCTTACAGTCATGCAAGTCTGGAAGAAGCTGTATGTGAACAGGTACCACAGGAATTTCAGGGAGGCGGGAGTGGCATCCGAGAGGGTGGACCACATCATGCAGTAGCAGAGCACCCCGAATGGCATGGAGTATGCAATCCTGGGGAGGAAGCAGAACTGGTCAGATGTGACCCTCAGATAAGGTGGTCGCACTTCTCGTTGCACAAGCTGAGCTACGCAGCGCAGCCTCTTCCCCAGCTTCCAAACCACAGCCCAGCTGCTGCAAGATCAAGGTCTGCGAGAGGAAACAGTTTTGCTCAAGCGAGTGTCCATCGGTCAGGCTGAGGGGGGCTAAACACGATCGTTGAGAGAAAAACTAATGTCTGAGTTGTCCAACATTTCTTATTCTCTTAACTACCTCATGTCCTTGCCCTGCAGCAGATCCTTGGGGGCACCAGTAACCCTCTTACGTGCAAGATCTGCCTGTGGTTAAAGCCTGGTGGAGAGCTCCTGGCACAGCTGACTACCCAACTCTGTACGTGCCACCACACAGGACTCTCAGAACACCGAATCCCACAGCCTCGAAAACACGAGGCTCTAGAGCAACAGCAAACGTGCAAGTTTGCGGTACGTTCCTCCTCTTTCATTGCAGCGATGTGTGGAGCCCAATGCAAGTTACGTTATCGTTAAGTGTCTTTGGGTTGTTAAGGTGGCATAATTCTCCATAAGCCATAATCACATTAAACTCCCAGGGAGGTGTCCCAGCTGCCTCCTTGTGCTAGCAACTCAAGGAATCAGAGTCCAGCAAAGACCCTCCTGAGGCTCCAGCCCGGACACTCACCAGGGAACCAACTTGCCATATTTTCTCCTCGGGCTCTTGCTGACCAGGAAGCCAATAGCAGGGTCGGTAACTGCATCCCAGGCTCTTCCAAGGAAAATGATCAGAGAGGCATGGAATGGCTTCAGCTGGGGGGAAATGGAAACCACAGCTCGAAAGGGAAAGAAGTCCTGATGAAGAGCTGCGAGCAGTCAGCACGCTGCAGCTCACTCTAGCCAACGTTTCATCTGCATCCCCTGGAGACCACTCCGAGCGTTGAAATGGCCCAGAAACATCTCCTGCATGTCCACCAACAATATCTGCATCACACAGTTTTGATCCAGGTTGAATGCCTGATTCTGCTGAGCGTTTCCAAGGGCTTTGGCCACCCACCAAACTCTACCCCAGTCTGCTGAGCTTGGGCTAAGCCCCTTTGCAGGTAACCCATCTCACGTGGCCACTCACCTGCACAACATCCAACAGGAAGATCTGGAGGAAAAACCCAAGGACGTTGCCTGTCATCTGGTAGGGAATGCCCCCAACGGCATAGCAAACCTTTCTGCGGAGCGGCAGTCCTGGCTTCTCCTGCAGCCGAGACACCAGGGAACGAGCCCCCTGAGAAATGCCACGCACCTCTGGCTGACAGCTAACCTCCAGCCGCTGCTTGTCCCATCTGCTGGCTTCTCCGAGGCCCATTTAAACCCTGAGTCATGTCACACCCCCCAACACACATACCTGTCCTTCGGCTGGACATCACTCCACCTGATACCCACAAGCAAGGTGGACACGGCCGTTGGGGTGCTGTAGGGTGCCTCCCCGTCTGCTGGTAGTCTTGGTGGGTGACGGTGCAGAGCTTCCTACACGCCACCTGCCCTCGGGCAGCAGCCTGGCTCCTGAGCTCCTGCTCAGCGGCGTTTCTTATTCTTCATAAGCCTTCAGGGTCTCTGTCACAGCCGCTTCGAGGGGCTGAGTATGCCAACAGCCTCGTTCCTTGCTCCAACCCACCGGCCCACATCCACTCCTCTACCAGCCAGAGCCCCAAGACAGGAGCTGATCAGCCGGCATCTGCCTCATTTGCTTGTTTTAAGCTTGTCTTGTCACCAGGGTCACATCCCTGGGGTTTCACCTTGATCCTCCACGGAGGCATGTTTGCATGAGATCACAGGCTGCTGACAAACGAGGTACATACCTAATGCCAGACACGGTGCTATCTGCTAAGCTGGTCTAACGTTGTCCTCTCCTATTCTAATGAGCCACAATCCAGTGGTTCAAGTTCTTTAATATTAAAAAACACAAATTGCATCAGGCTTAAAGGGACTCTAACGGAGGCAGAGAGACTGCAAAGGCCAGAGCCCAGGGGACTTCTATAGATCAACAGGGAAAGCACAAGGACCGTTTCAGCGTGCAGGAAAAGGGCTGATGGCAAAGCCTCTATTTTATTTGGATGTGGTTAGCTTCAGTAAACACTGTACCAAGCCTCAAGTATCTGGCAAAGTTCCCAGAGGCAACCTACAGCACTGATTTCCTCCCAGCCCCAAACTGAACTCGCTGTCTAGCGTGATACACCTCTACATCTCACAAGACCAGGAGTACGCTGCAGGATACAGGGCGAGACCATATAAAAAGCAGACGGCCCGTCCGGGCTCGGCTTCCCACGTGGCTGAAGCTCGGCTCTCCTACGAGCAGACCGTTGCTAGAGGCCGTTCTGGTGGGACAGGGCGAGCCGCGGTGGGGTCGCAGCGCAGACCCCTGGAGACCGAGGCTGACCTCCCGTCTCAGCACAGGCTGCCTCGGAGGACGCTCAGGGCTGACACACTCGGCAGGGACTCGGGTTCCTGGTCTACGCCACGTTTCGGCCTTCCCGATCACCGAGCAGCTCCAGCGCCGCTCAGAGTGCGGCAGGTGGGTCGCTCTCCTGCCCCCCAAAACCACACAGGCCTTTCTGGAAAGCTGCGGAAGGCTCCCCTGGCTCACGCGGGGCAGACGGCCATCCCAGGCGACAGGCCTGGTCCAGACGTGGCTCCAAAAGGCTTTGAGCTCCTCCAGCAAGAGCTCTGCAGGAGAGCGGCGAGGGAGGAGGGATGAACGCTTGGCACAGAGGCTGGGCTGAGGGACAGAGTGCAGGGTCATGTTGACAGCTGGGTAACAGGGAAATCGAGTCAGGGATCACTTTGAATTCCCACTTGCCCCCGTCTCTCGTGGGATGAGGGGGCAATCTGCCGGGTCCCCAGCCTGTTTGGGCTGGAGGTGGCTCGCTGTGCTGCTAACGGCAGTCAAGCTGACGGCCACCTTTGAGGGACCTTCCTTGTAATGGTACTAGAGAGCAGCTCCCGAAAACACAGGCGCAATCCCCAAAAGCAGCATTCCAGAAGGCACGGAGCGCATCTCCCTCGTGCAGCCATTAGCGATAACCCCTCCGCAGGCAATGCCATGGAAAAAAGCACTGACCCCGCTGTGCCCACCAGGCTGGAGGGCCCAGCCTCTCCCTGCACACCCAGGGGAGCCGAGCGCCTGCTTTCTCCGTGCCAGGTGACCTCAGCAGCACGCTCGTGCCTCTCAGCTGCTGGTCCCAGTTTACTTTCTGCCTTCTACAGCACACACAGCGAGAGGCAGGTCCCTCGCATTTCAAATTGCAGACCAACCTTGTCCCACAGGGATGGCAGAAGTATTAGGCTCGCACCACCACCGAGAAGCACTTATTCATACAACATCTTGTTTCCACAGCAGTTCTGTTTCTAAAATTACAAAGGCTGTAAGGTTCTGTGGCAGCTTTTGTTCCCTTTATGCTCTCAGCAGGTACGACAGCGCTCTGCACGGCTCTGCCCATTTCACTTGAAAGTCAGCGACAACAACAAAACGCAGAGCCTTGCTTTCACAATGTGTGCTCGAGCTTGAGTCATAAACGCGGCGAAACACCCCCACAGCCCGTGGCTGCTCCGTCCGGGTAGGCTCTGCGTGGGTGTGCGCACTCGCGAGGGTTAGCGTGCACGTGTGAAACCCATTTCTGCGTGCGGGAAAGCAGCACCCTGGGACACTGATCTTACCTCGTTGCAGACCGCTCTCCTCTGTGGGAGAGCTCCTTCTTGGGCTGACCTGTGCAGCTCAGCATCTTCGTGACCACCTGGAAGCATGACTTCGTGACCGTCCTTCAGCGGCATGTGGTGGGGAAGCAGAAGCTTCCGCGCCCAGGGGGAAGAAGAAGTTGCCTCGCACGTCAAAGAGCGCACTGCAGGCAGGGACCAGAGCTAGATGGAGATTTGACAAGTGAAGATACAACATCTGTGAGGCCCCATGGGGAGCTGATGGAGGGGAAATGACTGGGCCTGAGGGAGGAGCGTGGCCAGACCCTGCCCATGAAGGCAGGAAACCTGGCAGGGCTCACAGTGCGGCATGTACTTGGCCCAGTAGTTTCCAGGCTCTCTGCAGTCAAGTGGAGAAACCCAGCACTCTTCCAAGCTCAAATTGGCTCCAGTACTTCCACCCCTCCCCAGGGCTGCTGCCACACTGAGATCTCAGGGGTGCGGAGAAGTCCTTTGCCTGAGCTCCAGACCGCTCCGCGAACACACTTGAGCCACCCCAGGACTCCTGCCTCAGCACCAGCAACCACCACCTGCAAAGAACCAGCAGGTGAAACCCAAAAAAACCCAAAGTGGCTGGAGCAGCCGGGGAGAGGGCAGCAGGAGCAGGCGGGTTCTTGTCCCGGGTCACTCCCCAACAAAGCC